CTTCATCCTGGAATCAGACATTCAATCTCAAAAATCAGGAATGCTTCTCCCGCTCATCAACAAAATTCCCCCTAAGTGTCTGAACATGTGCTCAATTTCATGTTTCCTCCTGAGTTTATGTTCTTCCCAGCATGCCCAACATTTTTCATTATGGACTTTTTGTCATAAAGCACCATCTTCATCCTGGAATCACCCATTCAATCTCAAATACCAGGTATTCTTCTCCCGCTCAACAACAAAATTCCCCCTAAGTGTCTGAACATGTGCTCAATTTCATGTTTCCTCCTGAGTTCATGTTCTTCCCAGCACGCCCAACATTTTTCATTATTGACTTTTTTTCATAACTCACCATCTTCATCCTGGAATCACCCATTCAATCTCAAATATCAGGAATTCTTCTCCAGCACTGTCACCCTCAAATCACCCCAAAATAGTAAAAGGATGTTGCACCTTATCAGTTGCTCAACTCTGAGATCCTGATAAGGTAATGGCATATTGGGGGTTGAGTGTGGTGACCAACCGAGTTCAACAGGTTCTCTCTTGTTGTTAATGCCGCGCTCCCGGCATGACGCCAAAACTATCCCTAACAAGGATCTTGGATGTTCCTGGGAACTTCAGGAGATTTCAAATCAAGGCCTAGCTAGCTTGGCATGATGACCGTTTAGATTTGTTGAAAAGGTCCTAAAGTAGAAGTTATATGCACATTAGCATTAGCACTCCCTTACATCAGTTTGTTCATATCCCAACTTTCCAAGGGGAGTCGGAGAAATCACCACCAACTCCATCTTCATCTTTTCGCACTTTCAAATGGTGTTGCCTGGTTCTGTTGTCCCAGATTCCAACAAACAAAGTCAATCACGCACAGCGCCAGCAAGGCCGGCCCCTGGAAGTGCCAGTCAAAGGTTAGCAAACCTCCGAGCACTTGAAGAAGCAGACTCCAAATCTAGAGATGCTGTCCTAAACAATCGAACTGTCGAAATCACGCCGGCAAATCCCCAAACCTACGAAGGATTCAACAGCGGTGATGACGACAATCCGATTGAAATCTATGACCACCTTCAGATGACTGCCGATTGGGACGAAGTACAACCAATCAATGATGGCACGATCATTCATCCTCCGGGACTCAGATCTGCATACTTCAAAAGCCCCACCTATCGAGAGCGGACTTTGACTGAGGAGGCTCACTGGAAGACCATCATACCCGAGATCTTCAAGTGTTTCATGATTTGTTCCCTCAAGACCGGACAATGGAGTAACGAAGCGACTTGGAATGAAGATCTTAACCTTGAGTGTAAATGTCCAGCTTGGAAGAAAGGTGTTGTACAGATTGATTCAGTGGACATTACTAGTGAGTGAAGTTCAAAGCATTGCTTGAGTTCGATCTACTCATCAAGCAGTGTCATGACGTTTGTATGATCAACACTACACACAGGCCGGAAGAAGATTGACCTAGAAACCTGTGGATGTGTTAGTGATGTGATTCGACTAGTCCGGAAGGGTTATATCGGAGGGTCTCCGATACGCCCTCGAATAGCTTTTTCAATACGCCTTCTTGCTTTTCATCATACCGTTTGGAAATACTGTGCTGTTCAATTGGCACCTTTTGTAGAGGCCATGGACGAATTTTTAGATGCTGGTAACACCATCTTTTTGGTTCCTGGCACCGAACAAGTATGTCATAGTATTATTTAGAGTTATGTACTCACAATCACCTGCTCATGATTCATAATCATCTTTGCCCCAGAGTCGTGACTGCCGTATTAGGTTTTTGGCGGCAGTTGATGTGTACCGTGAAATGCTTCGCCTTGAAGATGAGACTGCGTCAAAAGCTCTCCGTTTGTCACCAACAGACAAGCCCGCCATGTTTTGGGCCAAAGGTACTTGGAAAACGTGCCAATGAGCCGGATTTTGTGGTATGCATTGATGGTAATTTTCAGCATCGGCGCCATGAAGCAGCGAGTGCTAAATGGCGAGGTGAAAGTGGGGTAGTCCCTTCCCTTTTTATCTCACCTGCTCTAGGCGATATGTGGAAAACAAAAATGGAACCACTACCACGACAATCTGGTGTACCTGACAAATCCGCAGAAGTCATTGTGGGTGAGATTGAACTTTTTCAATGTCATGGTATTGACTAATCATCAACCATACATATGTAGGACCCTTGTAGCAACCAGCACACAGCCGCAAACGACATTCGTGGTCGTCATACTTGGCGAGGTTTTTATGAAACTGGCTTGATGGGGATGGCATGCCGACATGACCACCTCATCAAGTTCATTAACATTATCCAGACTGGCGAGAGGTACGAACAAGCTCTTCAGTGGTTGGAGAGATTGATTAATTTGCTCACCTGTTGGTTTATTTAGAGGTTATTATCCTTTGACCATGATTGATTCAATACTAAAGGAGACCGGTCAAGACCAAGCCGGTATTGAAAAACTCAAGGTGGGCATATTATATGATATTGGATGCAACCTCGAAAAAAGCATCATAAAGGTGGCTCATTTCAGTTTTATAGTCTATACTTGCGCTATTTCAGAGGTTGATATTTTGTAGAGAAACTTTTTCTCAAGGGCTCGAGAGAACAGTCAGCTGAAATTCGGAACCAGCTTGTTCCATTCATATGTACATCAATGGTTGTGCCAGCTTCAGTATAATCCTCGACTCAACGAGGATTGGGGTCTTTCGGATGGGGAGGGCTTAGAACGCATTTGGTCCAAACTGTCTCCTTTGGTTGGCGCTTTGAGATACTCTACAGTGTTCCATTGACTTTGCGCTTTGGAGCTAAGAACACGTCATATCAATGAGTCCAGTCGCAAGGTCACTGGTATGTATGTGTATTCAATAAGGATGTGGGACATTTAATTGATCAAATTCACTTCTGAATGATTAGTGCGGTGGCTACTTCAGCGCTTGTCAACCAGCCACAGTCTCTACACTAAGAGCTGTCAAGTTTTGAATGAATTGAAAAAAGATCCTATGTATACCGATGAATATCTGACTCACCAGTGGAACCGGCAGCGAGAATGCCAGCTCCAGGTACTGGTGAAAGAGAACTCTCAGGCTGTCAAGGACAAGCTTGATAGATTGGGAGTGATGGAGGAAAAGTATCAGGAAGCCAAGTTGAGTTGGCAGTAATTGAAAATTTAGATGATGTTGTTTACCTGGTCCTTTGCCTTCAGTGACGAACTGGTGGCTCTGCGCCGCAAGCGTAGGAGAGATATGACAGTGGCTGAGAAACTGAAACTAACTCACTTAACTCAAACAAAAGAAATGCTACAAACAGACATTGATGAACTAGCAGGTGAACTGGGGGGAGATCACTATCGTGATATGCCAGGATCTTCTAGTAAGAATTTTTTTACATAAGGACTTCATACAAACTGGGTGGCTGATTTGAGGTCCATGCAGCCCCTAAAGGACGAAATCTGATCAGGGTGCGAGTTGCTAAGGCTAAACTGTACGGGGCTAAGGTGGATGTATTCGAGTCGCAGAAGAAAAGCAATGAACGAGCTGGTGAGGCTCAATATGAATAACAGAGTAGTCTTAATTAATTTCATGCTGATTGAAATGATTGTATGTTACATCACTGTTAGGAACCTGTGCACAACAAAAATCGAACAAAACCCTGAGAGACAAGCAAGCACTTCTAAAACGGAAATATGAAACTTACAAACGAAATGCTGAACAGTTCAATGAGGATTATCCTGCACCGGACCCAATTTCCTGCCCCTCTCTTGAAGACATCCGACGCCTTGCACTAGTTGATCCGTTCTGGGATATTGATCAACTGACCCATCCCGACGAAGCGTGGGTAGTTGATCCAAATACCCAGCTTGGTATCAAAGCGTATCGTGATAAATGCCATGCGAGTGATGAGCTGTGTCAACTGGCACGCGAGTGTCGGCAATCGATAAAGTGGGCGGTGGATATGGAAAACAAGCTTTCAGTTCTCAACACTGCCCTTAATCTACAAGGTGGGTAAGCTTACCAAATCGGTATGATGAATGAGGTTAAAACTAAATAGTGTGAATGTTGGCAGACGATAATCCTGCTCTGCTGCCCAACGAATGGATGGTCGGAGCCGTCCAGTCTACAAAACCAACAGCAAAAGATAGGTTGTCCGAAAGTAAATTAGTTTTACAGGCTCTGTATTCACGGCTTGGTAGAATGTATACACGCTTGTGGATTTTTTGGGGTGGAGGGATGCATGGACTTATCAATCAAACGCTAGCCTACAGTAGCTTGGAGGAGATTGAGGAAGCATCAATATTAACACAGTGGTCAGCGTTAGTTTCCAGAAGCAAGATAGCCTGGAAGGCGAGCTCACGGGGTGAAATCCTTGATGCGGCTCCACTTGACGAAGGGGAGGAGACTGAGCAGCGTTTGATGGAGTTTGAGGCTATTGTTGATGAAGATGAGGTGGAAGGATTGGCGGATGAAGTAGATGTTGGTGGTGAAGAAGAAAGTGAAGAGATTCCTGGAGATGAAGGGTTTGACAATTGACAAGTGTATATAGTGAACGTTTTTGTTTATTTGAAATGCCTTGTTTTGCTGAAAGTGCTAGTCTGAGTTGTTTTTTCTTTGTACTCGTGATTGATTTTCACATCTAATGATGAATGATGAGTTGTTCAAGTGATTAAAGTCGAAATCTGAGTCAATGTGAGTTCTTTGATGAAAATTGAGCATGGCAAAGGTTGGTTGGGTGAATCGTGCTCGCAGTGTGGGATGGTGAGAAGATGAAAAACCCTTGTACGTATCATGATCCGAAGTCAGATCAAAAGTGAGTGCTCTGTCAGGTCAAAAATGTGATCTCAGGATCTTCCAGAGCGCTCTGAGAGGTTCCAGGTCACATTTGTGGCCTGACAGAGCAGATTTATGACCTGACAGAACAGATTTTTGACCTGGTCATGTTGATGGTCAAGTTTGCTACCTCAAAGTAATTTTTTTGAGTGGAAACTTTGCACAGAGCTGTTTTAAGGCTCTCTGAAAGGTTTGGTGTGAGAAGATGATTGGAAGACCTGACCTTGGAGGGACTAAAAGTTGTGCTCCAGGTCACCTGAAGTGCTCTGCTGCAAGGAATCGGCTTATACGTCGATGGGAATGTGTCATTTACTACTGGCTGGTATGTCGAATGATACAGGTGACACAGGTGGTGGGAGATATATCTTTGGATTTCATGGTCACTGTGCTAAAACAGAACTTAGATTGATCCCCATCTTCACTACTTGAATTGTTGGTCCTCAAGTTTTTCAAACATAGAAAACACAAAGAGAACTTCACAGACAGAAGACTTTCTTTTGTTGTTTACATATGTGAATCTCAAAACTAAAAAGATGCAATCCCGACTCGCCACTCTCGGTACTGTGAGTCCCGGTTTTTGCTTCCTTCTCCGGTCCTGTTACATTGGACAATGGAGAGCAATGGAGACTCATTATATATTCGCCAATACCCCTTGCTTTTCGCTCCTGTCTATCTTGATTTGACTTTTCATCCTGATTTGAAAGAACTATTCATGTTATGACATCGATCAACTCTCATATGTTGATACACAGTTGTCAAACACCAATCACATGTAGTTGCTTTTTGTCATTGCCTTTGTCATCGAATTGTGCAAGTCCCACCAATTCCCTCCTTTGATCAATCGGATGCAATGTAAGGTAGTTGATTCAACAAAAAAATAACCATCAATCATGAGCCAAGTAGAGTCAATAATTCATTGATACTGCCAGGTCACATGTAGTATGACACTCGAGCTTTTCCATGGTAGTCTCAAACATTGAGTGACTTTTGGCTTATTCACACTTGGTTTCAGCAAAAGACAGCTAATGTTTGAGAATTGAGATGAACAGATTTTACCGCCAATTGCAGCACCTTTTCTTGGTGAAGCATCACCACTATCCTTCTCCTTTCTTTTCTGCTACTAAAGGAGGTGAATTTATTTTGTGCTTTTAAATCTTGTTTGACACATGTACCTACTTTTGCTGAAAGTAAAGCAAACATGGCTGCATGGAGATTGTCTGTTACCTCATGTGTCAGGTAGCTCTTCCCCTCCACACTCGATTTAAATTTCACTGCTCTCTTTGCCTCTGCCTTCCAAGAGAGGCATATAAAAGGTTGAACTGTTTTGCACTCTGATCCAATCTGTCAACCCCTTCCCACATATTTGTTAACTGTTTATGAGTAAAGGAAAACAAATGTGATGTCAAATGAACCCGCCAAGGTGGAAAAATTCTTTACTCATCTGGAGGCAGGTTTGCAATTCTTTCCAAATTTTGTGCACTTGATCCAAGGAGTGTGTACTTTGTCCAACAGAACAAGTGTGATCATTTGTTTTTGTAAAACTATGAGATTTAATCTGTGTGTAAACTCCATATTGCTTAGAGTTCACTAGATAGCATAAACTCTCATTGACTTAAGTTCTTATTGAGAGTAAACAAGACAGTCAAAAATCAGGCAAACCTAATTGTAATGATTGTCATGGACTAATTGCAAAATTTTAATGAACAGATGGGACAGGAACCCAGTGGCCTGTTGCGGGCATGCCCGCCTGTTCTCTAGTTGTTCTAAAAAGATATAGATACAGAGTCCTCAATTTCAGAATTCCAAAACCACTTTAGTTTTGGTGGAGGGGATAGGTTTTGGAGAGTTGATTTGATTTTCTTATTTTCAGAGGTAAGCACTATATATCTGTTCAATTCTTTATCATTTGGTATGGGTAAGATTGATCAAAGTAACTCAGTCATCAAGAGAGTTTCAGACACCGGGTCACATCAAGAAACATTTTGACTTGAAAAACTTCACTTCAGAGATCATTTCAACTTGGATAGTCTCAAATGAAAATCCCTCTTTGATATCAATATACAAAAAAATCATCAGTGTCATATTGCCACTTTGGAAGGTCAAACTTTAGTATTTTGGTAGGTTATCAAATTTGGAAGATAAAATTTGAGATTGTTGGATCAAGTAGCTCTTGGGGAAGAACCTTTCAAAGGGATACACTTGATAATAGGAGATCAATACACAAGATCCAGCTCAACAAAACATGCTCATAATCTCCTCAAGGATCAGGTTTTGCAATAAAATGACTCAGGTTGCCACACATTGAATGGATTTTCATCCTCACACTCATCTTTTGTCCCAGCCTTCTAAGACATTAAGCATTGTTAAGGTCACTTATAGAGAGGTAACATGTATTATCACACCCAGCCTTATGGCAACTTAATGAGATACTCTTTCTCAGTATGACATACAATGAGTTTAGTTTCTTGTAAGAGAAACTGAGATCCTGTTGAAAAATTTGTGACTTGAGACTATGTGACAGCTTGAGAAAGCATTTTTGAGGTCACTACTACTAGAGAGGTAAGATGTATACTATCATCACACCCAGCCTTATGACAACTTAACAAGAATTTCTCTGTTAGCATGACATATGATGAGTTTGGTTTCTTGTAAGACAAAGTGGAATTTTGTAAACAAATTGTGACTTGAGACTATGATCTTCTCTTCAGAAAAATTTGAGAATTCCTAGTTCATAAAAACAGGATTGAACACTTTAAAATGAAGAATTTTGAGAGAAGTGCATTTGAGACCCAGAAGTTCAGGAGTGGTAAACTGCTTCTGACTATGTAAGTAGTATCAATCCAAACCATGATCACTATGATCACTATTTCTATATGAATTACACTGATTTCATCAAAAAAAGTTCAATCAACACGGTACAATTCAACCAATACAATACATGACCTGAAACCAAACCTAACTTTAATTATCATCATAGTATCACATATAAATAGAAACTAACGCCACCAACCGCGCCACGTTTTCCTCATCAGTTCACTGAGGAAAACTGGCATGTGAGTCTTTCTCTTCTCACATCATACTCAAATCCGAATAACTGTTGTTGACTTCATTTCTACTATAACCATGTTGTCTAGACTTCCTGTTCTTGTTTCTTTCCACCTATTTAGGTGTGTTCTTGTTATAGTCTTTGGTGTTCAGAGCCATAAAAGACTTACACCCGATTTCTGGTGTTATAAGGTTAGATTGTCTATTATATGAAATAAAACTTATCAGTTCACTGAGGAAAACTGGCGTACTTCCTGTTCTTGTTTCTTTCCACCTATTTAGGTGTGTTCTTGTTATAGTCTTTGGTGTTCAGAGCCATAAAAGACTTACACCCGATTTCTGGTGTTATAAGGTGTGTTCTTGTTATAGTCTTTGGTGTTCAGAGCCATAAAAGACTTACACCCGATTTCTGGTGTTATAAGACTTCCTTTATAAGGAGTCTCGAGTTTATATAGATTCTCTCAGATCACTATGATCACTATTTCTATATGAATTACACTGATTTCATCAAAAAAACTAACCCCTCAACTCCTGACTGAATGAGTAAGTTCAAAGAAACCAAACATACCTCCTGCTTTTATTTCACTGTGTAAATGATAAATTGGTAACCACAACCACAAACTCATTCTCAAAACACACGATTTACCAATGCGATTTGCAAGAAGCATAGAGGGTCTATTTGGTATTTTGGCTAAATGAGAGAGAGATCTCAGTGACAAAGATAAGGTCTTCTTTTGAGAGAGCACATCATGATCACTTTCACTACGGTGTGAGTCAGATTTGTTGAGTAGATTTTGTTCTCTAGTCCAAACAACTTAATTGCCTTGGGTCATGCATTTGAATCTGTGCTGTATCAAACTCAAGGCAACCTTGCAGTTGAATGTATGCGGCAAACTGTTCAATTGACTCTGTGACTGTAGCTCCTGTTGGCAACTTGATACCGTCAAATACATGTATACCATTCTTATCTCAAGCCACGCTCATGTTGTAGTATGTACTCATGATCAGTCAAAATCACATCTTCAAGTTCAAGACATGTTTAAAAGTTGATACACACCAAATAGAACAAATATGATTATACAAATAAATAATCATCAAGCTTGACATACAAGTTCAATGCGTGAGAAATCAGTCAAGAGGATTTTCGAAATGAGCAATTTCCATCGCCAAGAATTAAAGACCTATCTGTGTACATCACCAATTTGTCCAATCTGATAATACACGACTCCAATGATGATGATGACGATGATGATGATGATGATGATGTTGACCATTTTCATTTTCATCATCTTCATGTATATGTTCTTGGATCTCTGATCCTTCTCCTGCCCAAGCTGAAAATCGTGATAAGTCAAGTGGTGAACTGAGCTCATTTCCATTTACAAGTCCCGCATCACCATCTCCAATTGAGAACTTGACTCTTTCATTCGTATTTTGATTATGTCTATCGACACTGATCCTGAATTAGCAGACAAGCAAGAGATAAGCCTTTTTTGGTGCTACGGCCATGCAAGCGATATAAACCAAAGAGCAAGTTTGATAAATTACCTGCGTGTCCTACTCTGAGGCAAATCTACATCAGCCACCATGGTCATCGTGTCTGAATCAAGTGCCATGATCCGGTTGGCAACTCTGGCCAAGAATCGTAGTGCAACCCGTTCGGTACGAATTGGTCCAGCTGAATGAAGCTCTGGCAAGAGTGGCTGAGGCTTTCGACTCAGGGACCGAGGGGCAATAGAGTGACTTCCGCGTCCAGTACGGTTACTGTGGCTCCTAGTTGAGTAGTTGTCTGACATCCGCCTACCGCATGCCCGACCGCGACCGTCAGGCAACGAAGCTGAGTGAATGGAAAGTGCACGATCACTTATTGTGCTCTTTGTACTTCGACGAGCTGTGGAGAGGCCAGCCGAGATGGCATGTGGATTGGTGAAAAGAGCTTCGTCGTCTGAATCGATTGGCGAAGCTGCAGGTGCATAGTTAGACCTGACTGAATGTGTATCAGAAGTCCGTTCCCTATGGTAAAGTTGATCAAAATCAATCCTCAGCAAGAGGTTAAAGGATTAGACGTCGACAAAAGATTAGATCCAAACCGACCTTTGAGAGCGAGACTGAGAGCGAGGAGATCCCAAGGAAAGCGAAGAAGGTATTGAGAGTACATCTTCTTCTACTTCATCGTCATCCCAATTCACGGGGAAGAGTTGAGTCTCTGGGATTGATAGATTCAAATCCGAGACAGTAAGAGATCGAGCCATAGAACGAGTAGGTTGAAGGTCCTCAAAATCAGAATCTAAATCTAAATCAGGAGAGAATTGACCACGACCGTCATGAGTAGGCATGCTGGTGAAAGATTGAGTTGGATTAGGATCGAAGAGAACCCATTCGAAATCAGGATTAGGAGAGACATCATCCCATTGTTGTTGAAGATCGGTTGAGTTAGGAGAATGTAGTGAGGTTGAAATTGATCGATTGAAGATAGAATTGGATGAGATTGGCTCATGATCAGATTGAATGAGATCTTGTTGAGCTGATTCTGATGGTAGTCTTTGATGATGACGTAGAGATTGCAGAGTGATACTAGCCATTTTTTAAAAAACTAATCTTTTAATAAATCCAAATCAAAATCAAGTATACTTGAAGGTTCTAAAGAAAGATAAGAAAGATTGAAAAGATAGCAGAAGAGAATGGGATTTCGAGAATATCGACTATCAGATATCTAAAGTGACAGGGTCTCACTCTCTTCTTATGTAAATTCTCATCGAATCCGAATAAACTTTAATTTAATTGAATTTGACTAAAACAAGTCGCGGGCCTAATTTCTCACCAGTGTGGGAAAGGCCCCGCAGTTGCGGTAAATTTTACCTTACCGCATGCGATTTACCGAATTCCTTGACCCCCGCTGAGTCCACCTCGGGGTGTCCTTTTCAACCACTCGAAGCGGGCCTAAGAATGAACAATACAGCCGTTTCGAGCGGCTTTCCCCCTATCTCGTATCCATCTCGTTCTCCTCCCCATCTCGGTGACCTCAAACGCGCCAACGTTTTTTATTTTTTTATTTTTTAATACATACGACATCATCTATGTAATCCAAAACATCAAATGTCCTGTACCCGACCACTCGAGCATGAGACCACCCGGACACACTTGAGCAATCGGACACTCAAACACTCAAAGAAGCGACCACCAACAGCACTCACTCTCACAACCCCTTCCTCGACCTTCGCCTTCGTCACAAAAGATAGGATGCAGAATGACTATACAACTACTCAAATCAAAAACGTGTGATGGTGCTTTTCTCTCATCAAAATACTGACGTAAATATCAGATAAGGCAATAGAGTAAGTACTTTAACCTCAGTACTTTCAATCATCTTGCCTGTAGAGACGCAATCAGCGCTGGTTGACAAATCTCCATAGTATCTGTTGTCTCCTTACGTAGTTTAATGGACACCGTACCATATTCTTCAGTCATAACTTCTCATCACATGCGATTGAAAGGCTCTGATGCCAATAAGTGACTTAGAACAGTGGTATACAATTTCGGAGAAAGGTCACTGCGGCTTGAAATCTTGTAATACTATCATATAGTCTTGCTTTCCACTTATTTTCATCTTATTGTGAACGTGGAATAGAGAAGAACCTATGCCCGAAGTACTCACATCCACTGATGTATGGAATAGTAACCACAAAGAAAATTATATAGCATAAAGTTTGAAATCGACCGCTACGTGAGCAAGCAACAGTGCCTCTTGAGTCAATGTCACTGAGAAAGACTAAAGTTCAAACACAACACAAACCAAACGCGCCCAATGTATAAAGGCAGGTCCTTTTTTTAATTCCAATGGTTCCAAAAGGTAAATCTAATGATATTTGAAATGAGACTGGGAAATGTAGTGGAGATCAAATATATGAATTTGCTTGTGAGCCAAAACAATCGATTCTTGCAGATGCTGACTTTACAATAGTTGGTATGATTGCGTATGTACATTAGTAAGCTAGTGTTCAAAAATAATTCAAGTTTTTGATTATCTAAATTAAAGAAAGAGGTACACAATTCTAAGTGAGACCTGTCAAAGGAACATTCATGCTAGTATCATCCTTTTCTCCAGATATGTTGCTGATGGGTGGTATGTTATTAACATCAGCATTGAGAGATGTGTTGTCAAGGCGATCAGCGGTACCTGTGTTATCAGAGGGATCGGTGCTGTTAACGGAAGCGATGTTGCCGGCTGTGATATCACCAGGAGGCGTGTTTGTGTTAGGAGTGGGAGGGGTGTTATCATTATTGGCAGGAAGTGAGTCATCGGCGGGATTGACACGTTTGCGTTTAGGATTCTGAGCAGAGAATGCTTCGATTTGCAGGATTTGAATGTTGTTATCTGCAATATCCGATAAAATATCACGAGCTTGTGCAGGGGTAAGTTGATTACTCTCTTGCATCAAGTCGCTTGCTTGAGACTTCGAATTTGAGGCCAAGTTTACAAAGTAGCCTAGATTCAATAGTTTTGCTTCGCAGTCTTTCCACCACCACTTCTTGGCAGCCCCCTTTGTACGTGTACCTAAGGTCAAAGTACCATCAGAAAAAAGATCGGGCTGTAGATAAAAAAGGTGACGTACTGATCAGATTGGACAAGGCTTCCCGACACTCTGTTCGTTCTGTAGATGTAGAAAGAATATCAGTGTCTCAATTTGTTCCGATTGAAATGGAAGTTAGACTCACTATCCACTTTGCCTTTGTTTGAGTTGAGTAACCCAGCCGCAGTGCCAGTCACATAAGACTGGAATTGTGCGGCGACGTGCGTCTGTGGATTGCATTTCTTGTCGTTATCTATCCACATCGAAGCGCGCGGGGTGGCTCGAACAATCTGGTAGGCTTCGTCGCCTAAATAAGTAGATACCCCAATGATGACAAAGTCACCCCGGTACGTTGCTGCCATGTCGTTTGCCTACATATATTTACAGTGTTAGTATTCGAGAGTGAAGAAAATGAAAGAAAATAAGCCAACCTCCAGTTGCCACCTTATCATGAAATCACTGACAGCTGCGCGTGCGCCGAGCAAAGACATATTTTTGGCACGGGTAGTTGTAGAAAGGCCTGATGGTGGTAAGGATGAATCCGTATCAGCTGTGGTATTGATCAATGATGTTGATTGATTCTGTGATTTAAATGCATCTTTCTCTGCCTGGGTTTTTGTGTTCCACAAAGCAGATAGCGAGGTTGAGGCTCGACCATTGGCAACTCCTTTTTCTAAATTATTAAGCAATTGATGAACATATCAATACATTGATGTATAGAGTCTAGAGTCAAGACTTTGATAACTCACGATTTCTATACTCTTCTTTCCCTTGCGCAGTTGCCTGAAATTTTTGCCAGCTGTTTGGCCCTTTCCGCACAACCTTTTGCCCCCTGTAAGATGATATTGTCAGATATCTGATGTCGATGAAAGGAGAAATAGATGACATCTACCATAGTTTTTGTACCGCGTCCACTGAGACCTGATTGTTGATACAATTAATGGCCAATGCTTTGTCAAAATCGTCATACAAACACATGAAGTATGATTGTAAAGCCGGAGGAACCGTAGACCCTTTACAATGTTCCACTGAGAGTATACGTAGTTCGGCTGAAGTCTTGCTCATCATCTTGTCGGATGTCATGATAGGTAGTTCCGGAGTTGATTTTGAAGGAACCCCAAGGAGAGACTTTGGAAGAAAATTGTTGACTAGAGCTCTAGTTTCTGCAGCTTTTGCTGCAGCTAGTGTCAACGTAGGTGTTGGGAGGGTAGGACCGGCTGTTGATGGTAATTGATTATTTTCCAGATTTGAACGGTTGCGGGCATTCTTTTTTGCACGTTTTGAAGGCAACACGGTTGGGCGGAGTTGAGAGGTACTTAAAGTGTCTGGTCGACCTTCGTTCAGTCTTGTGCTGGTCTCATTTCGTGGGTGTGGTTGTATATCAGTTTCACAGCTTTCTGGATTGGCAAAATCAGTATTGTAGGTGTTGTAAAGATGGCTGTTACCACTGAGCCGACCACGCTGGGCGTGGGATGACGGAGTAGACTGCTGAAGATTGGCTCGGACTTGACTTTGCTGGACTCCATGGCCCACTGTTGAGGGCCTGGAAGCGTCTGAACTAGAGAAACTGAGTGAAAGTCTACGATCTTCTTGGGTAGAATGGCCAAGATCATAGGTGCCGTGGATTTGAGTATGAGTTTGAAAGTCCCCGGGTGATTCATACCGAGCTTGAGGGTGAAGGTAGCCTGGGCTTAGCGGGCTTAGCTGAGAAACGTGTGTTTGTGATGACTGGTGAGGTGCTTGAGTATGAAAGGAACCAGCTGGTTGTGTCGAATAGTAACTTGGAGTCAGTGATGAATTGTACGGAGGCCGACTTTGCTGAGCATCAGTGGTGCGTGCTTGTAAGGATTGGCTTTGAAGGGCCCCATATGCCGGACCTGAATTGAGCCGCGTCTGATTGGGATTGTGTCCTGGCGGCCATGAGGGACTGGAAGCAGGCCAAGCAGAGCGGTTGAAATCAAAGTTGTTGCTGGAGTTATACATGGAGGGAAAATGTGCAGAGTTTGATTTTTTCCATTTGTTTCAAGAGAAACAGTGCAAAGTTTTTGGTTTATGATATTCAAGAGGGCAGATACTCAAGTTTTTACTATATAACTCGAGATTTTACCAAATTTCCAGGTAAAAACACTAGTTTCTGCCCTGGATTTGATCGGGTACCAAGATGTACTAGAATTGGGGACAAAACCCAATGAAAGAGGATCAATTTCCACCACCTGAAAGCCAAAAAAATCACTACCATATTTACCAATATGCAGACATCAAAATTTGTCTCCACAATATTATGAGCCTAGCCCAATCAAACCAAAAGATGGTTCATATGATATCATTCTTCCATATGTATCAATATGATATTGAATATAACATACAACTTCAAGAGTGTGTAAAAGTGTGTATTTCATATATTTTGGGCTATGTGGATCAGGCATGCTATTTAGGCTTTTTAATAAATGCAACTTGCAAAGAATATTTAAGCATATCTGGCAAGAGGTGAATGTCCCTACCACACTGAGCGGGAAGGAAGAGTGTGGTTTGTGAGGTATTTACATGTGTCAAAGTGTGGATGTCATATTATATTATAAAATACCTAACATTGGAGAAAAAAATGAGCCCTAAATCAAGGGTTTTGGACCCAAATTGAAAAAGTTATTGGCCTCACAGGCATAGAGCATGTACCTACCACACTGAGCGGCAATGAAGAGTGTGGTTTGTGAGGTAATTACATGTGTCAAAGTGGGGATGTCATATTATATTATAAAAGACCTAACATTTGAGAAAAAAATGAGACCATCATCCAAGGTTTTGGACCAAAGGTAAAAATGTTATTGGCCTCACAAGCATAGAGCATGTACCTACGACACTGAGTGGGAATGAAGAGTATGGTTTTTGAGGTACTTACACATGTCAAAGTGTGGATGTCATAGTATATTCTAAAAGCCCTAGCATTGGAGAACAAAATGTGCCCTAAATCAAGGGTTTTGGACCCAAATTGAAAAAGTTATTGGCCTCACAGGCATAGAGTGTGTACCTACCACACTGGGTGGAATGATGTGGTTTTGGAGGTACTTACATGGCTCAAAGTGTAGATATCATAGTATATTATGAAATCACTAATATTGGAGAAAAAAATGAGCCCTCAATCAAGGGTTTTGGACCCAAATTGAAAAAGTTATTGGCCTCACAAGGATAAAAAGGGCAGAATGTGTACCACACTGAGTGGAAATGAAGAGTGTAACTTTTGAGGGACTTGAAGATTTCAGCCTGTTGAAGTGATTGTATATTCTGAAAGTACTCACATTGGAGAAAAAAATGATCCCTTCCCCAAGGTTTTTGGACCAGAACTGAAAAAGTTCTTGACATCATGAGGAAATAATGCTCACTCTTGATCTTATTTCAGCATACACATGTGTGTTGAAACATGCAAAAATCCTGCGTGATCACAATTCCTGACTCCACAACTGCAACAAAAACCCAAAACTCACTTAATAGGTGGGAAATATGGCATTCTGACCAACTGGCTGAGTGTAGAATTGGATTCCAAGGTCAGCCTCTCTGATCAGAATTTTACATTTCCCTCATCCTCTTAGTCTTTTGATATGCCAAAGTAAAAGAGAATGTCAATTCCTGACTCCACACCTGCAGAAAAACCCCAAAACTCACTGAACATGTGAGCAATATGTCTTTCTGACCAACTGTTTAATTGTAGAATTCAGTTGTGTTTCCCTTTTTGTTCTTTTTGTTGAAAGAAAGATTGATAGTTGAAAAGTCATTTGAGAACAATATTTACAAATAAAGATAAGGAAATAAATGATGGTGTTTGAAGGCGGTGATTTGAACAATAGTAAACTGGAGTCGATTGTTTTTTCACAAAAGCAGCAAGGCTTTACATAGAAAATAATCGACTTGTTTTTTTGAAAAAGCTATCGTTTCCAAAAGCGTCACGTTTCCTCGTTTTGAAAGTGCCTCCTGCTTATGGATGAAAGCGCTTCATGCTTTTGATTAAAAGTACAACTGTCTAACAACCAAAAGTATGTCTTGCTTTTGATTAAAAGTACCTCTTGATTTTAATTAAAAGCACCTTGCGCTTTTGATTAAATGAAAAGCACCTTTTGCTTTTGATCAGAGCCATATATATAAAGGCTGGAGTTTCAGCATGGGTCCATATCGCCATCTCAACTTTAAAGAGAGCATTGTACTCATACCCATCATTCTCTCATCTCTCTCGTCAAATCACTAGTTGCCTTTTGTTGGAAGGCAGTGTGCCAAAACAATAAATCAACATCTTCTTTCTCATTCGTTCATCACAGCGGTTGCCTTTTGTTGGAAGGCAGTGTGCCAAAACAATAAATCAACATCTTCTTTCTCATTCATTCATCACAGCGGTTGCCTTTTGTTGGAAGGCAGTGTGCCAAATCAATAAATCACCCGTGTCTTTCTCTTATCGCATCTCTCTCATCAAATCATTAGGACAAGTTGCCTTTTGTTGGAAGGCAGTGTGCCGAAACAATAAATCAACTTGTAAAAAAACAGACAACCTCAAGTACCAAGACTTCTTCCAAGAAACCAACCTTACAAACGAAATTTTAGCTTATACCCATTCGATCCATCTGTGGTTCATACCTATGTGTAGCTTGAATTACCAAATAACTATGATAAACTGTGAAATTGTTCCTTCAAACTGTGTACTCTCCTTATACCAATTTAGTACAACTCCTCAACTTAGATTACTGATGATTGGTGGACAAGTCACATTGCGAGAAGGTTTGATACCTTCATCTTCGACTTGGAAGCACTTCTTACTGGTATGGATCAATCCATATCGTGGATTGATTATTATTCGTATTACGAATCAGAATTGCAGAGAGACAAAAAGACAAGATAGGGTCTTGATGATCGTAGATTGATCGTACTGTTGTAGAGGCATGTGGGATCAATGAGAGGTGGTAGTGGAGAGGTTTACTGAGGTTGAGTGAAGACTAGAATTTCTATACTTGACGTGTCTGTAGTTTTCAATATGGATTTTTCCTACCTTTATAAAGAGAAGGAGGTGTTCAATTTCAAAACAAAGGAAGGGAGCAAATATGCTCTTGATAGATGCGATATATTTCAAAAAGCAAGTAATATAAAAGTAAAATTACAAGGCAAAACTGAAAGTATAAACTATTCAAATAATAAGGCTTCTGGATCTAATGTTTCTGGGTCAACAGCAGCCTTAATCTCCTCCAGATCCAAGCCGTGCATAAGCCCAGCAGCCTCATCTTCATCATCATCGGAGCTTTCCGCATCATCATCACTCTGATGATCTGAGATATCCTCCCACACGTTCTCTTCTACATATGTGGCGTGCACATCACCCGGTATCATTGAGAGTTTGCCATTATTCCACATATTCATGATGTGATCAATCTGGCTGATCCAGACGGCCTTCAATTCTTCGTCGCCAGCTTGGGAGCATGTCTGAGAGAAAACTTCAAGTACGTCTTCGTTCCACAACAGCTGATAGTTAGTGATCTTAACATATTGATTTTGAAGAATGACACTGGCCGCAATCAATTGTGTTTCAGGTGGCAAGGATGATAGTATGGGGTGGGAGATGAGAGGCGTGGCTGGTCCAAATCCAGAGTCCGTCGGGCAAAGTAGAAATTGAAGACATGTCCAGATGCGATCATGAGAACTTGTTGCCCAACGCATCAACCGGCGAACCTCCCAACCTAAGCGCCTAAGCTCCTCTTGTGCTCGGTCGATATAGGCAAGCTGACGCATCCCATCCCTTGTCTTTGGATCAGTTGCCCATGGATCTTGAAGTTTCGTGAATATTGAGTCGTTCCAGAACGGGTGATCTGCTTTGATTTCATTCAAAGCATTATAGTCGATGTCCTCAGGAAGCTGTTGGGCAGGATACTTGGCCTGATATTCTGCCCGGCGAGTGCGGTATGTATCGACTTTTTTCCTCAGCTGTGCCGCACGCTTTCGAAGAGCAAGAAGAACAGAGGTCTTTCCACGCTGACCTGTAATAACCAGCATTAGTGTTGTCATTCATCTTGTGTTTCAAATGATCAAATACCTACCTATATTTGAATGATGCCCATCTGCACGACTCTGTTGCAGCGGTCGCTTTTCCTCATTAAGTGCAATGTAATACAATGCAACCTTGTGCTTGCTGTACCAAAGCTTCAGAAAATCCTCTTGCTCGGTTGCTGATGATGAATAGAGACTTACAGATTATATCAACCCAGTTGACCAGACATATAACAATGAATAATGAAAACTGACAAGTATGGAAAACTTCCGCAGTGCCTACTTTTTCAGCCTGTTTGACAATCTCCTCCCTAAGGCGCTCGCTTTCCAGAACTCGGGCAATGGACTGTTCAGGTGTTTGAGCCACTCTCAACCTGTTGAAGTATATGAATTGTAATGATGTCTATTAATAATCAGTCATTGGGGTATGCAGAAGTTTTGACTTACAATAAAGCTTTTTGTTTGTCTTGTAGAGATAGTAGTCTCCCGAGTTCTAGTTCTTGTTTTTGCATAGCCACCTTCTTGCTTGCATATGCCTCGCGCTCAGAATCCCACTGTTCGCGTAAAAAGGTGTCCGAATACATATGACCGGGTTGGGCTGGGTTAGGTGTGGCAAATAGTGAGGTCAAGAACGTCTGAGCTTCTTGACCTACCTTCATCACATTTTGTATACGTTTGCAAAGCCACTGGGCTATTTAATTCAGATGGATAATTCTGTTAGCAAATCTCGCACATGTATAAGAGCAAAATTATACATACCGCTTCCCTGGTTGAGCTTTGTCTTATAGAAGCGATTGCGCCAATATATAGCTTGTAGTCGATGGAGTCGGGTTGATATGCGAAGAACAGACACAAGGGCTGATAAAAAAGACCAGAGCCGCTCAAGGCCCTCGCCGTCTGACAAGCCCCAATACTTATTGAAGCGAGGGTTGAATTTTATCTGACAGGCCCACTCGTGCACATATGCATGGAAGACCGATGTACCAAACATCATCTTGTTATCGGGTGGGAAGAGCTGGCGCTATGATTGAACAATTGGACACAATTTAATCAGCTAATGGGGCAATTGAAATCGAGTAACACGACATGGACTTACCTTTGCGATATGGGCACCTAAGTGACATCCAATGTCATAAAGTACAGCTATGTGCTTATCAGGATAGATTGATCGAAGTTTTTTTAGAATCGCCACAGGATAATATAGCCTATAATCCAAAAAAGTCAGTTTTTGATATTAATGTTGTGTAATGCTGTGGGCCCTTACTTTTCACCACTTTTGTAGATATTCACAAAGTAAAGTGCGACATCGTGACGGCAAGCACATGCAAATAAACCCGTGTCGTCACATCCATCCCAAGACTGGCTATTGCGAACGTCGTTGGCAGCTGTATGGGAATCAGAACATGCGGTCTGCAATTGGAGGGTTGATCCACAAACCTGTTTAGTGACATTCAGTAATAGATGTGAAAAATGATAAGCATGAAATACATACCTTGATGCCAACCACTACAGCATCGGTTGCTTTACAGGCAGTGACCTGAGTCTCAAGCTGGCTAGGGCAAATGAAAAAAGGCGGATATTGTTCTTCTTCTGGCGAGTCCTTGCTAGCATGCGATGATGACGCTGTTGGAATGCCATCCATG